AAAGAAAAGAAAAGAAAAGAAAGTTAAACTAAATTAAACTCAGAAGCCTGAGTTTTCAGAGTCTAGTCTGGATTTAAGTACATTGCTTGAGGTTAAAACAAAATGCCTAACCCTTTGAAAGAGCTCACTTAACTTTGATGATTTTAAAACGCATGTTTCAAGTTTAAAATAAATTAATTCAAAAATTGAAAAGCCTTTCAAAAATCACCTTGAAATAAAATTAACCAAGAAAGTGAAATTACCCTTAGCCTTAATTAAATGAAAGAAGCAACTGATAATTTTTATGCCTATTATACTTAGGTTTTGATTTCACAAGACAAAAAACCTTTACTGTACCTGACGAGGGGTTCTTTCTGATTTACTCCTACACCATTCCCAATCTGAAAGATCTGGTTTCTTACTCTCTTCATGAGATAGTCTTCTTTCTGGACCTTCATAAAAGGTGGTTTCTTCATAGTTAATGCTATTTCTTGTTTTGTCTGAAAACGCACACTTTCCTTTGTCAAGCACTTCTTTAGCCTCCGTAACATCAGTATTTGTGCATTTGTTAATGCCTTTCAGCATGGAGCTGTCCAGAGAAGGTGTGGTGCTGATTTCTACTTTTACAGTGTTGAAGATGCTACAATTGTCTCTCTGAGAATCTTTTGTAGTTTCACACTCATAATTCATCAGGTTGTGATAAGAAAGAGAATTTTCATCATCGTCATAGTAATCTTCATGTGCTATTTTATAAATTCCATAACTTTGTTGGAATGATAGGTTGAATTCAAAGCTTTTCCTATTGGCTAAGTGAAAACAATAATAAAATTTCTTAGTAAAGCAGATGTAAACAACAACAAATATGTATATTATTACTAGAAAGTACATTCAACCTAATCATTATTAATTAAAAATTATCTTCAGTAACTTCTTGTCAATTATACAGGACAATTATGCCTTAGAAAATCAAATCATGACCTTGGCTGATCCTAACTTTTCTCACTTTAACAATGAAGGGCTTGAAATACATATAACCAGAAAGTTTTTCAGTCTGTATTTTTAAACATTTTTCTATTATTTTGGAGACAGACTCTTGATAAGTAGTTCAGATGGGGTTTGTGCTCACTAGGTAGCTCATGCTGGTCTTAAATTCACAGTGAACCTTCTGCAGCAGCCTCCAAAGTACTGGAATTACAGGCATGCATCAAGACAACTTAATTACAAGTTAGGAAATTCAGGTATTTTCAGTGGTTTTTTTAAAAATGTATTTGGTATGGGATCTCACTAAGTAGCTCAGGCTTGTACTGATCCTCCTGCTTTCAGCCTCTCCAGCGCTGGGATTACAGGTGTGCGCCACCCTATCCAGATTCTGGCTGGCTCAGCCCTCCCTGGGGCCGAAGCTAGCTCAGCATGTGGTGCCCAGGATCAAACCGCGTTCCCTGTGCTTGCCTAAGCTTGCCTAAGAAAGCGCTTTTGTCCGCTGAACTATCTCACTTACTGTTGCTTCAAACTTTTGATGTATACTACTTGTGATATTTAAGTGTTTCTAAATGCATACATTAAATATTAGAACATATTGCTATACAACTGTTGAACTTTTTGTGAATTAATGTGCATTCTGATGAAATGTATTTGGAACAAATGGATAAAACATGAATGAGTATATATTTCTAAATTGGAGAATTTTGCAATATCTGCAAAAGTAATTAATTATAAGATGTTAGCAGAAATGTATGAACTTATGATAAAATATGCTGTTATTCTAGATATTGCATCCTTGGCAGATATAATGTAAAGTATTAACAAGTAAGAATGTGGCAGAAAATATTTTTGTGTGAATATCATTCAATATTTGATAATGTTTATATATATATTTTAATATAAATTTTGACCATTTAATATGTATGTTCCAGGCACTATTCTAAACCATTAGGAGGTAATACTAAGCTATATAGACAGGATTCCTACTTGCACAAAGTGTATCTTCTACCAGGGAACAAAATGAAAGAGTACACAGTGGAAACTTCAGGGTTCAATAACTTTTACTACCACTCCCTTGCCCCTGTGGAAAATGGCAAAGTAGAAGAGACCTGAAAATGCATATAAGTGAGACCCATTCACCTGTGTTTACTACAGGTTAGTTCCTGGAGAGATGCCCCCCCACAAGTCCCTGTATGTAAATATATCTACTCATGTATACACCCCATTCATTTGGACTTGGAGTGAAGTGCTCCTTAAATGTAATTTTTTTCATGCAAAATCTGCAAATAAAAGACTCATGCAACCTAACTGAGGAGACTGTCAGGAACTCAGGGAAAAATCTAGGTTTTTTTTTTTTTTTTTTTTTTTTTTTGTGTGTGTGAGTGTGTATGTCTATGTTGAGTGTTTATCAGGTTCTTGTACCTTAATCACAACATCTGGGCATCTTTTTGCTGTTGTGAAATTACAAAGAATCAAATGTGTGCTACCTCTGTATCTGGAAAAGCATCATGGCTTCTGGGTCCCTAGATATCTACCCTGGAAAGCTACAAAGAATCAGGACATGGAAAAGTGAACACAGACAGTGTTGCAGACATAAAGTTTATATATTAAGAATGAAGGGCTGGGGAGCTAGCTTGGCAGTCTAAGTGCCTGCCTGGCAAGTGCAAGAACCCAGATTTGGTTCCTGGCACCACATGCTATGCCAGCCCTGGAACCCCAGGCACCCCGTGCCAGCCACTGAAACTGGGCATAGTGGCGGATGCCTGTAATCCAGGCACTGGGCGGTTGAGAAAGGATTATTATGAGTCCAAGCTTTGTAGGAAGACCCTGTACCCAATGAATAATGAAAACAGATTAAAGAAAAAAATGAAGTTACAGCAAAGTGGAAAACAAAATACAATTTAATATTTTGGGTTTTATAATTTGAAGCCTTCAAAGAAAGTTTTTACTTTGACATTTATGTGTTTTGCAGTCAGACACTGACTATGTTTGGTAAAAGTATATTATGAAAAACTGTGAAATTTCTATGGGAATAAAACAAAATTTGATTCAGTGTACAACACACTCTAGTGTTATTCACATGCTATTTCTGTTAAAAATGAAATGTTCTTATAGATGGAGATTTACAAACTAATTTTTTGACTGAAAAAGAGAA